ACTGAATGTAACCATGGAAGTCTCCAAACCTTTCTGTTTCTATGTGCATCTCCCTGATATTTTCTGTCTTAATGATCACTTTAGTGTCTGGACTTCTTAGGAATAGTCGTTCAATAGCTTTTCGAACACTTATGGCCCTGCGAATGAAAACGTCAATGGGGAAAGGTCTGAAGTGTTGGCCAAAGGTTATGACAATGGCTGTGTTTTTATCCCCTGATAGCCGGTCAATTTCCCGAGGAATATAACCTTCATCTGTCACGGAATAGGTACTATAAGTGACAAAAGGATAGCCATGTTTTTTCCATTGAATTTGAGTATGTCTTTCAGCATCCAGAAGCAAATGTTTCTTAAAAGGTCCAGTTTCATGAAGATCAAAAAATTTCAGTGCTGATTAAAAAAACAAATTTTAGTTAAAATATAAAAAGTAATATTAGTGCATGTTAAAAGAACATTCACAGTATCATTTATAATACCTACTGGAAATATTTTTATCAGAAGCTTTCTAACTTCTAGAGTAAATTACCAATTCACATGTGTGAAATGTCAGTTAAAATATGAAGTTTTTGTTGGAATTTATTAGGAGGAATAACTTTTCTTATGAAACATTGAATAAAATAGATTTCAAATCAAGACTCAACTCTAGAAAGCTAAATGAAATCATAAGAAAACTAGCTCAAATGAGAAGAGATGGAGACCTCATTGAAAGTACTTTATGATCAGCCTGAATTTCCAAAAGAATATAAAGTAAGTACATACTTTTTGCAACTCTGGGTAAGTAGTGGATCCACTGACGCAGTGTGGAGTCTCCCAGCAGGTAAATGAGTTTTCCTTTCAAGCAGTCATTGATCTTGTTTGTATCTAGTTGAATCTGGTTACAAAATGTTGTTATCCACCTTCCTTGTAATGTGTATCCACTAGGGACCGGAATCTTCATTCCAATTTGGCATTTCTCTGTGCTCTTTTCACTCTCTGGTATCAGAGATCTGGTGGTGAGTGTTGTTAGTGGCATGTGTTAAACACCAGCCTCCTTTCTTGGGCCTTCCCTTTCCTGATCTCTTACTCCTGTGTCTGTTGTCACTTACTAGGGGTATTTCTTGATCACCAGCTTTGTTTTAATAATTGCTCTCATTCCTCTGAGAGATATTTGAGTCATGCTGACTCCTCCCTGTTCATTTTCTTTCATCTGTGATCATTAGCTAAGTCTCTATGTCCTTTCCTTTCTTTGCCGTTCCTCTAATTTTGTGGTGATTTAATTCTGTTCTCTGATCTGAATGCTGTTACTGAATTCCCAGTTCCTATCTTCATTATTGAATCATTTTTATTTGTTCCATCAATGAAGGAACTGTGAAGTTTGCAGTGTTTAAAAAATGGCTTAAGGGGCTGGGGATGTGGCTCAAGCGGTAGCACGCTCGCCTGGCATGCGTGGCGCACTGGGTTCATCCTCAGCACTACATAAAAACTAAAATAAAGATGTTGTGTCCACCGAAAACTAAAAAATAAATATAAAAAGATGGCTTAAAATATAACATGTACACATGTTGAAAACTGAAACATTATGAAATACTTACCTCAACTTAATTTTTTTAAAAAAATAGGATATGCAAGCATCCATGGTAAGGGTGATTTGCAGAATTCCACAGAAACCAATATTCTGAGATATTGCAGCCTGTTTTTATAGAACTGCAGCCTCTCTCATGGTGTGCCTTCTAAGGTATCCCATGTGGCAGAGCACCAACTCTGCCATGCTATAACAAAGGTCCTCAGATGTCTGACATCATGTTTCCTTACCATTTTCTATGCTGCTGCACCACTGCTGAGCCATTGCCTCATATCTTAGTTTTATTTGTTGTTGGGTTTTTTTTTTGAAGAATGACTTTTTGAGCCTTTGCATGCTAGGTTAGCACTCTACCACTTAGCTTCATTTTATTGACAATTCATCTAGTAGGAAGGACACACATTGTTAGGAGGGTAAGTTGGTTTGCCTTTGAAGTCATTACCTACAAATTTCCCATATCATTTCTATTCATATTCCTAGAAAAAAATAATGTGGCCATAAGTAGCCACAGGAAAGGTGGCCAGGGCTTCAGTTAAACTACTGGTTTCACTTCTAAAGAGAGAGAAGGGAATGGGTAGCGGGGAATTACCAGCAGCCTCTGCTTAACCTTCTTTTCTTAGCTCCTCATAGATTTTGTAGTCTCTGGTTGCCTGTGTCTACAAAACAGTACTTTCTTACATGTCAGTACTGTAAAGTTGGCCCTCTGTATCCATAGGATCTGTATCTATGGATTCAACCTACCATGAATGGAAAATATCCAGGAAATTTGTTTTTAATCTTATTAAACACATGCAGATTTTTCTTTCCATTTCTCTAAACAATATAGCATAGCATCTATTTACATGACATTTATATAGTATTAGGTAATATAAGTATTTTGGAAATGATTTAAAGTGTATGGGAGGCTGTTGTAATTCATTTCAAATACCATGCCATTATATATAAAGGGTAAGCTTCTTGGCATTAAATTTGGTGTCCATGGTGGGTCCTATAGACAAACTCCCTTGAATATTAAGGGAAAATTGTATTTGTAATTCGAGGACAAAGTAGCAACATGGTTCTGGTGGCAGATTTAGAAAATGCTCCTGTAATAGCTCTTAAATCCTGGTGATTTTTCTTGCCCAAGGGAGTTTTCCTAGTGCAATTATCATGTTGGAATTTTACTGTGATATGGTTGGTCTTGTAGGAGGCTTAATAACATGACATCATGGATGCTTGCATATCATAAGCCTAGAAACTCAACACCTACTATTACCAAGTATTCCCCATCCCAGTAATGTACTGGCATATTCGAGATGATAGCCTTTGAGCTTATTATTGAAAAGCATATCCTGTGTAATATTTACATGTCAGAATTTATTTCCTTATGAATATTATTATGTAATTTTATTTTAGAATAGGCTCGATATTTTGAGCAATATGTGGTTAATTTTGCTCACCTTTTTGATTAGAGATTGTAATAGGCAGGCTGTGGTCCCTCAATACATTCAAGTCCTAATTCCTCAAATCTGTGAATACGTTGACTTCCATGGCAGAAAGGATTTTCCATATTCACTAAGTGTATAGACTCTGAGAGGGGACAGTTCTCAATTATCTGGGGGAAGGGGTCCAGTCTAATTAACTGGCTCTCCAAATTGAAAGAGGGAGGCAGGAGGTAGGCCAGAAACTTGTAACTTGAGTAACTGACCCACTATTGTGGCTTTGATAAGAAGATGGGGTTACAAAGAAAGAGGGCAGCCTTTAGAAGCCAAAAAGGCAGATCTCCAGAAAAAAATACAGGTTTGCTCTACCTTAACTAGCTTTGTGAAACCGATGTTGGGCTTTGGAAGAATAACACTAAGAGAAAAGTTCTTCTTATTGGAAGCCACTTTGTTTTAGCAGCAAGAAGAAACTAATGCAGAGAAAATTGACATTCTTCCAATATGAATTCACCCCATTCAGAAATAGCATACTTTCTTCCATGTATAAATTTTATGTTCCTTAGCACCATTTTAAGTTCTCTTTGTGTATTTCATACTCATTTTGCTCACTTGTTCACTCTCTTCTTCAGTTGACCTCTGGAGTTTTCAAAAGTCTACCAAATAAACATGAAATCTTCAGCATGCTACTTGAAAACTTCCATCCGCCCATATGCTTACCACACTGGCCTACTGAACAGGGTCCAGAGAATTTTGCTCATGAAAAGAGTTATCAGATTAAAAAGGTTACCACATTAATGAATCCAGGAGAGAGAATTAAATCACTTCTAGTATGGAAGGCTTTTCTAATGTATGTGTCATTGAATCTTTTCTTTATCTCAATGTATACGTACATAGGTAATTATTTACTTAAATCTGACAACCCTACCATGATCTTTATGTGGTTTCTCTTTCAGCTCATTCTCTGACTACAGATATCCTTCAGGACTTACTCATATATTGACTTTAACATAACTTCTTCTGTATTTTGCTTTCTTCACAGAGTTGGTAGATTGAATTTATTTTGATCACAAACTTAACATATTAATTTTTCTCAATTGATTCAAAATACCTCATATCTATTAGACTCTCAGTAAAAAACTGATGAAGAAATGAATTAATATTAGGAATAAATCATGAGTTGTCAAGTTTACCATAACAGGCTTTATATACAATTATTTAAAGTTAATGTATAAATAAGCATAAATATTATTTGTTCACATGTAACATTGCTTTGTATTTGCCGTTGAAACAATTAATAAGATGGAAACGTCATATGAAATTGCTAAGTGCACCAACTAAAAGCTGGAGGTTATACCAACAGAGATGAGGAAACCAAAGCCAGAGTGCTGCTCTGAAGCCATGAGTACCCATCACAGACATTTGCACAGCACCTCAGACTCTAGGAGATAAATGTAGGATACTAATACTTTCTCCTTTACGTTAAATCAAATGAAATCTACTATAATCAAAGTTTGAACTAATTTCCTTGAATTGATTTCTTCTATAAAGTCCAAATAGACTGAGATCAGCATTGACGCTGATTAATTTTTCTCTTCATAAAATTCTTGATATATACACCTTCCACAGAAGAAAGCAGACTTACTGTTACAATGGGAGACATCAATGTTTTTAAGGTCTTTCATCATTTCAATTCCCACTTTGGACCTTCAAAAAATAAGACCATAGATTACCCTGTGGTGTATTCACATAGCACAGGACACAAGTTTACCTCATTGTAAGTGAAGGATAATTTTATTTTTAATAATTGAAAACTATTATTTTTATTATATGTTTTAGATATACTGGGTATTATACATGAATTAGGATTTTGGAAGGCTTTCTATCCTATGAAGAGTACCTGAAGTCTAGGGCAGCTCTTCTTATCTGCCAAATGTAATAGTGTGTGCTAGAATCTTAGATTCACATTTATCAAATATGAAAGTTCTCTATCCTCTTTTATATCAGTTATTAACATTCATATAATATTTTTCATGAGTTATTATGAGCCTCTAGTTCACCAACCTAAGTTTAATCCTGCCTAATTTCTTCAACCCACCCTCCAGAGCACCCTTTCCAATTGGAAATACAACTGAATTATTGTTTAAAGCCCTTAATTATGCCCATGTCACTTACCTAAGTAGTCCTGGATTCTTGTCATGGCACCTAGACCCCTTATCACAGAATCCCTGCTTCTCCATTTAGGCATGTTTCCTACTGTTTTCCTTTAATTTTTCCTGCATATGTGTTGAGGATCATGTGAAGAAAGGTAATGTATTTGTATGTATGCACTATTGTGCCCTAAACATCCATCAGTGTGACTAGCAGAAAGTAATGGTTAACCTGATGCATGAATAAATAAATGAACATTCTATTTGTACACCGAATTTCTTTCTTCTTAATGAAAGACCTCTGAATCTTCCATTTAATTCCCACTGCTTATCTCCTGTGCATATGTGTGTGTAAATGGAGGCAAGCAGGAAGGGCTCAAGGAAGGATAAAGGCTCAGGTGCCTAGTATTACAGATATACAATAGATATAAATGGTACCCTGTTTTATGCTATGGATGTCCCTTTAGATCTAATCCCATGAAAGGGTAGGTGATCCTTAGTGGCATTTAGGCATAAGGATGGTTAATGGGGAGGAAGATATTTGGTGATTTGTATCATTGGAAACAAAAAGGAAGGAAAAGAAAACCAACTGTGCTTTTATTTGTTCAGAAGTAAGCCATGCACTATAGATCAGGATATCTGCATAAGCATATGGATAAGTGCATTAGCATATGGAATGTGTCTTGTGTTTCCATGTTCTATGTTTACTCTTCTTCTAACCAAATATTTTTGAAAGTACATGGAAAAAATTCTAAGCTTGAGTTTGAAAACTGCTATGAAATGAATTGCTCAGAATCTAGCATTTCACTGTAAAAGATGGAGAGGAAATAAGTATCCATGGGGTAGAATAGATTTTGGCATAGTGGAAAGTGAAAAGGAAGTGGACTGAGGCTTATGGAAAATTATCACATGAACAAAAGATTCTGGGACTGATAAGGTCTCAGGACTTGGCTCATAGTTCTGGTTTCTGTGATGACAATTTTCTTTTACAAATACCCAAAGAAGCCCATGAAAGAACCCTGATATTTCATTCTAAATAATGAATTGTTTTGTTTCCATCTCGGTGGAGAACAAGAAGACCAGTGAATGAGCATCTGTTTGTAGGGGAGATAGGCATGGTGTGTCTGCAGCCAAGACTGATAGGAGAAATGTGTGTGCACCAAGGTTAGAGGAGGATGTTCAACGAGGGCTTCCAGGCACTGATAGGTAACAGTGGGCAGAGGTAGAGGGACTCCTCCATGCTGAGTAGTGTGCAATGATGCATTTCTGATTTTGAGGTCCACTAGAGATGACCCATAGGAGTTGGCCTTTTATAAATATTGTTCAGGCTGCAGTGTAGAGTGGGTTCAAGAAGGGTGTGATTGATGATGGGAGAGAGACCAGGTAGGAAGCATTACAGTCATGTAGATGAGGTAACGGTGGTCTCAACAAGGACAGCAGCACAGGGCATGGAGAGGAAAGAACAATAAAGACATTTAAGAGGCACAATCTGTGGAACACAATATGGGCTGTGAAGCTGCATGACATTATCATATATGTATAAGGAATTTTTTTCTTGAGTGGAATATCTATGAACACATAGTAAAATAGTTTTTCGGGGAGTGTATTTTGTGAAATGTATGTGTACAGTAACAATCTCAATTGATACAGAGATGTATAGGCATGTATATTATTGAATTCTTCCTGTGTAACCATCTTTGTTTGACTATATGAAAATGCAAACTGTGATGAAGAGTCATGAACATGGGGTGCCATGAAAATATCACTTCACATATATGACCATAACCTTGAGTGCAGGAAGCATCTGAGACATTAAGATCAGCAATGTAGCTTTGCTTACCTGCATCTCTCATTGTATTGAAAAGTATACTCACTTATGGAAAAGGCTTTTTTCCTTGACAGAAAGATAAGAAATTTCTCGGTTCCTGGTGGTCACATGAGTCAGGGCCTCACAGGGCATGTGTTGAGGCTTCTTGCAGTAGAAGGCTTCCTGGTCTCTCCCATACAGGTAGGTGCACAGTTCAGAGCTAGAGTTTAGGGTCAGGCCACATTCAGTGAAGACTTGGGAGGTGCCATTA